GGCGATCTATTTATAAAACTGTTGTCATTAACAACTTTTTAATAAACAACGAACGACGGCTTAGTCCTTGTTACAGTACAGGAGGATGATCTTTACGATGTATGGGAAAAATGAGGCTTTTAAGAGTGACCCCCCCAAATAGGGGTTTTACCATTCTCACACACATACATCGGCCATTTATATATATATATATATATATATATATATACGCGCGCATACAAGTATGCTGTCCAGCATGGAGGACGCGAAGTGCGAAGGCCGAGAAGAGACGAAAGGAGAAGGTCACTCGATAATGCTCTCGACGACGTGGCCATTAACCGTGCGAAGAGACGAGGGATGTGCGAGGTGTGTGTGTGTGTGTGCGAGAAAGCGTTCCCTGCGAGCGCGCTTTGCTCGGATGCACGCCCAGCAAGGCAAGCAGCAGACGTCCTACATCGATCACATCATCGGTCGAAGGCCCTTCCGATACACGCGATAGGCCCATCGATATGAACGGAGCGGCTGATAGGTATTACGGCGTCAGCGAGCTAGGAAGTCAGACGAGACACAAAGCGAGAGCGCGCGCGAGGAAACGGCGCGCAGTCCCAAGATAAATGAATATTTATTCAACGGCTTTATCAGCCGATTCAAATCGACACGCCTGCAACAAAAAACGCGCCCTGAGGTCATCTTCTGAGGCCCCACCGAGTGCTCTCGTAAAATTTATCGAATCTTTCGGCCGAAGAAGAGGAGATTTATTATCTGCTACTCCCCGACAGACATGATGACGTCAAATGATGTATTATTGACGCTGATATATCATTCGACGTCACTTCTCTGCTTAAGTTAGATTATAGCAGAATACGTAACATCTATATTCTGTTCTGATCTAACTTATATTCTTATTTAGCGAGCGATACGGCTCGAGGATATTTGAGAGACGGTGCGAGACCGTCTCAAATTGATGTCCAGAATATCCCGGGGAGTACTCTAAGTGTCCTGAGCATATGGAATGATCAGGATATGCCCAGCACGCGTACCGAGCGCATTCAAGATAAGCTCCTGTTACTTGCCCGCGTACGTCATTCATCCCAAGAGATATACACGGTCACTCATCGGTCGCGAATATAAACAGCCGTGCACAGGTGCATATAAGCGTGGTGTAAAAACGCCGATCGTAAAATATGAGAGAGGGGTGAGTTTTACGAAGACGTTACTGGACGATGCGATTTGCGCGCGGGATCATTTTGATACTTCGGGATCTTTTATGGGCGTAGAGTGACGAGAGATGATGGAGGCGGTAATTCGGTGAGAGCACGTCGACAAGTACATGTCGCAGGTGATAACTGTGGGCAGAGGGAGCGAGGGGACACGGAACAAAAAATTAACATCTCCCTTTCCTCCCCGGCGGAGGAGATCGAGTCGATTTATCTCGGGTAAATTGGCGAGAACTTCTTTCGCCGAAAGCCGAGGCCGAATCGCCGCAGTAAATCGTCCGTTCGTATGTCGCAGGCGTATCTGACGCGTGATCGGGAACGTTAATTTTTATCGCATTATTTCCATAATCGGACGCAATCAAGTAAGCGTAAAATCGTGACGGAAGCACGGCGAGAAAAATGAGCTACTCGACGTGCTCGAAATTTCGATATTATCTAATTAGCCCGAGCTTTGGTTTCCGCGCCCGCAGTAGCGGTGCACGATGCGTTCCATTCGGATGCCGGTGATAAATCCTCGGAGTTGACGTGTATTAATCGTCGCGGCGAAAAATATACGTCGTAGAAACAGCGGAGGACTGCTCGTCGCAATTATTTACACGTTATCTCGGCGTCGAGCCGCCGCCGCCACCGCCGCCGCCGCGTCAGGACTATTTCAATTGCATTAATACGAAACTGCAATCCGTCTTAACGTTGACACGTTTGTCGGTATGTCGAGGACGACCATACGCGCTAATAACAGCTCGAGAGGGGAGGAAGAGGCGGGAGAAAAAGCATATCGGCGCTTTTGCGAGCGGATCGCGCGGGCGTGAAATAGCGGGCGCGGCGCATTTATTAACTAGCCTGATAACTCACAACGATGGTCCATCGCCAGACGAATTTATCGAGTTAAGACGCGGCGTAGTTGTTCCTCAAACAGCTAACTGCATCGTAAATTAGACGAGAATGCCGCCCCGCGCTCGCTCACAGAGTCCGACGCACTTTCTCATAGACGATACTCAAAGCTACGACGCACAGCTGCTAGCGGAAGGAACTCGTGTTTAGCCATCGCGTTCTGGGATTTTCTTTTAACGAGCTAACTTAAAATAGTCAATTATTTAGCCTGCGTCAGCACTTTTCCGTTAAATTTCCTGGCATTTAAGACGAAATTAAAGAACATTTAAGAATCCCGAGTGGAGAAACCGAGTGTGAAAGAAAGAGAGAAAGAGGAATAATGAGAGAAGGCGTAGGAAATCAAGTTTAGGGAGCTTCATCGTAGCGCGAAACGAGGACAGATTTTTCACGTTTATCGCAGAATATTGCGGTAGACATGCTGTGATATCAGCCGAATGATCGCTTCACACGTTGCTTAGCTACGGAGGAAGTTAATCTCTAAAAACAGTGGAGCAAAGTTATTATTCAGCAATAAATATTTAGTAATTCTAATCAGTATCCCAACTATGCATGAAAATCCTGCTGGAATAATTATTTCTCCGAAGTGGATAAAGCGACATCCATCAAGCGTGTTTCTAGCGAACTCGCGGTAATTAATCAGAGCGCGAAACTGCGCGAGCAGAAATTCATTACCGTTAATTCCAAAATTGTCGAAATGAGATCAGATTGAAACAGTTCGAATTTCATTCTGTTTTTTTTCTGCTCTTGACGCTCTTAATTGCCTACGAGTGATTTGGAAGAATGATTAGAGAAAAATTGGCGCCAAGCCGATGAAATCATTACCGACCCGACGAATGACTTTTCGCAAGCAATTCGGTCATTCACGATGGTTATTCGCGATATAAATTATCATTTGATTATAATTTCGTCGAAAAGGACATTTAAATGTGGAATAAAGGAACGTGGCAAGAAATTTAACAGGAAATCGAAACCTCTCGATAAAATATTGAATTTCAAGAAAGTTGTGAATTTACGTATATTGCTTTTGCGACATACATTTCTATCAATTTCTCTTAATTTCATTATCCGCTACGAGAGTTCCTCGACGAATGTCGCACAGAATGAGTTGTACCTCGTACAAAGGACACGACAGCGCGCAATGTAGTGAGGGGCACTTTCAACAGTTCCATAATTCAACATTTAAATCCACATTTGCGTACGACAAATATTTAACAACTGCCCCGCCTACAGCGTTTTAACGCTGGACCGGAATAAAAAGGAATCTCCGTGTTAGGCGGGAGGAACTAAAAATTGTGTGCACGACCACATTGAGAACGGTAAACATGTCGTTGCAAACCTCCACGTTTTGCGACGTTATTTCGGATTGAAAATTAACTGGCTACAGTTACCGCTAAATGCACGTTGCTAGTGCAACCTGATACACTGAACGTTTTTGCCCGGCTGAAACTGGTTCCATCATGTTGCTAACGTGCAAAAATGTGCAAGTTTCTGGTACGAGAGATTAAATTGCGCGGAGACCGATAGAGATTGATTAAACAAACGCACGAAGCTATTTATATTCGCAGAATGTGTTTCGATTCGCTAAATTTATATCAAGTTTACAACGGCACCTCGGAAACGATGAATGTCCATTTGAGAGATTCTGTGTGTTCGTACACAACTATTTATATACGACAACGAACATACGGCTTACTTGACCTCATTGTCAGGCGCGATTTTACGCGAATCGACTGAGCGATAAAGCGAATTACGCGGCTGCAGTCGGCTACGCTGATAAGAATACAGGCGTGTTCGGGAATTGGAGCGCGCTCCATCTTAGCGAGGGTTGCGATTACCCCGTTACGGTTATTCCATTAGGATTGCCGATCTTGTTATAAACCGTGCGCTATCGATACCAAATTTTCCACTCGCGGTTTCGGAAGTCGGCCGTTCCGGGATACAGTTCCCTCGCGGAGCGGAGAGAAAATCTAATAGGAACGACGGCGCTCTCGTGCTATTAAAGCAGATGTAAATCACGGCCTCCTCGAAAGTCTGCGCTAATCCTCCTCTGATCCTCCACTGATCCGGGCGAATGGAATTTCATTTGCTGTTTCGCGGAGTTCCCACTAAACAAATTACTGACCGGAGGCTTCGACATGTGTGTTTACCGGGGAATAAATATTCCTCGTGCTCTTTGTGCTCTCTGTGCACACATTCTCTCTCTTTCTCTCTCTCTCTCTCTCTCTCTCTCTCTCTCTCTCTCTCTCTCTCTCTCTTGAATTACCCGTTGCCCTCTTGAAAGTGATTAAAATGCGCCTCAGGGTGCGTTATGCCCTATTTTAGTTTCCCGCGAACGTTACGCAACTGTACCTTAAATTATTCAAATATAAATAATGGATAAATTATTGAAGTCTTTATCATTCGTGCAAAACGCGCGCCCCACCATCGGCTGGATAACTTCCATTCAAAAATGAGATGAGAAAACTGTCTCGAGCACTCAACCGTTACAATTTCAAGATAGAGGACCAGTGGTCAACTAAAGACCAATCAATGATCATTGATCACAATTACTGGAAATGCAATCGTTACGTGAAACTCATCATCGCGCGCGAAAATCGCATCGGACACTCCGCTCGTGTTAAACAAACAACCATACCATAGAGACTTGCGTTAGCCGCAAGTGCCGGCGAGTTGCGCGACATATTTTAGTTTGAGAAAGGCAAAATAATCTCTATAATTGCATGCGCACAATGCGATCGACGACCTTACGAGTGAGGGGGGAGGGCTTTTCGAGCCGAAAAGAGCTTTCTTGTGCGGGAGACGCGCGGATCACCGCGCTGAAGCTGAAGTCTCGCGTGTATTTCGCACGGTAATTGTACAACGGCGTCCATTTGAATAATTTCAAGCATATAGTGCGCAAGGACATTTACTCACCAGGGACAGCGACTGCTGGACGGCTAGGTGGCCCCACGTTCCGCTACCGAGTCCATCGACGGAAACGTGAGTCTGTCTCGTCGGTGCGGAGGACGGAGGACGGAGGACCGGCGATGAACTTGTGATGTGCAACGCGCAACGATGACGATCGCGGCGCAGGGCGTGTCTCTCTCTTATCAATCGGTGCTAAACGATCATAAGTGCGATCGGTTCAGTGGCGGCGGCCCGTGCTTCCTTGCCGATCGTTGTGGCGAATGTTCGTTCGCGGCCATCGAGCCGAGCGTGGCCCTCGCGTCCGTTTCGTGCCGTAATCGCGACCTCGCGCCAGTACTTTACCCACGCACTTTTCGGCTATTAATTCGCGCGATCGCGCACTGCTATCCGCGAGGAATATTCGAGAATGCAAAGCGACGGCGATTTTTCACCAGGTCGAGCACGCGTCGGGCACTCTCGTCGAGATGATTCGCCGCTTCGTTCCGTGCGCGATTGTTCGGCTAATTCGCGCGTTGTCGTCGTTCATCTGTCGCGACACTCCCGGTGAATTCAAATCTTTTTTCTCTTTGTCTTTTTATCCGGCGAAAGGGAGAGAGTCTGTGCGGTTGGGCTCGCGTTACGTATCGCGACGAAGACGGAAAGCGTCTCGCGTCTCGACAGAATGCTTTCTTACGCGCGCGACAATCAATGGCGGACGTTCAAATCGTTGAGGTTAAAATTGCGAGAATTGTTACCGGGAAATCCCGACGCGTCTCGCGACGTTGATGGATCTATGCGAAACGAAAGACGGAGACGGACGAACCTTGTTCTCGACTCGGGGGAATCGTATGCGAGACGCGAAATGAAATCATGTGACCCGGTGCAAGTTCCGAAAAGAGAAAGAAAAGTGCCAAGACCACGCTGGCTTTGATATCGAATATGACGAGAGCTTCGACGCGTTCGTCGCGACATATTCGAGTTATAATTTGACGGGAAAAAGGAATTACCACTGCTCTCGGCCATTATCTCCGAAGAAAGGGCTAACTTCAGTAAAGTCTCGCGGGTCACGGTGTACGAAATACGTAAGTAAAGAAACTTGAACGGGCGAACGGATTATAGCTCTTTCACACTCGCGAGTGATCGTAAACGGTATCGATTATCGCGTTAAATCGCTCGAGTGTAATCGATCGACTCGCTCGTATCGCTGCGGTTCTACCGGTTCGCATCTCTCCGTCGAGAGGTCTTTCACCTCGCTCGGGGAAGAAAAACAAACGATGAGGGAAATCTAATGGCCATTATGACGAGTGTATGCCGCTTGAATCTCTCCACTCTCGTAATCTGCGATGTCTCGAGTTTTTACGTGTCGCCGTCGCGAAAATGACTTGTAATCGTCGAAGAGGCCGGTGTAGATGGGTAGCGTGACCGCGACGCGACGCGACGCGACGCGACGCGACGCGTTTACTCGAACGTGCACGTCGATGTTAAATCTGTTTTCCTGATTCCGCGACACCCCCGCGAAATTTTTTCAGGCGACGGCACGCGTCTTCGTTTCCTCCCGCTCGCCTCGGTCTTTCCTTCCCCTTTTACCTACTGTCGCTGGAGAATATTCGCCGGGTATCGGCCGATTGTTGACAATGCAACAGGGAAGACTAACAAAGTGTCAGCGAAGCACGCGGCCGCGCAGCAGCTACTAAACTCCTCAAGCGGCGCGAACCAAACGCGACTCGAAGTGCGCGCGCCGCCACCGTCGAGAAACGAGAGACGATGAACCGTCGACTAGGACGACAACGGACAACTACGGCGGCGAAAACGACGATGAGAACTCCCCCTCAGCTGTCAGATGACATAGCTCCAGGGGGATGGTTTTCCATATGTCGTGCGAATCGCGCGAGTTGTTTCCAACGAACCGGCTAATTCGCCATTTTCTTCCGATTAACCTCGCGAAAGAGACTATGCTCTTCGTTGAAAATTGCACATATCGGTGAGTCAGGAATAACGAACAGATAAATAATAAACGATCGGATGAGACGAACTTTCGAGATCCGCTAACGCGTATCTAATTGGTGTAAATTTAATGTCAAAAGTCCTCAAGTAACATTATTATATTATATCTATACTATTATCGTGTTATCATATATGGTATAATAGTACACTACTTTCCTAAGTGTATCCATGCACTAACTTAATTTAACCTAACGATTTTGATTTTTAGTGTGTAAAAAAACACTTCAGGTAATCATTTGCGTAAGAAAACATTAGATGATATTAGATACACGTAACAAATGTAAGATCGCACCCGATACGGGTGGATAGAGCATAAAGTATGATTGTTAAATCATGTAAAAAAGCAACCCTTGGCAATAAAGTATTCATAAATTAGCATATAATACTAAGCCACGCAAAATTGTATTGTATTCCGAGGGATATTATCCCCGAGGGAATGTAACATACGCATCGATGAGAGTGAATGGAACATAGAATGCAAACTCTACACGTAAAACGTGGCGGAGTGCGAAAGGCATGTTCCATCTTTCTCTTATCACACGACTTAAAAGGAGAAAGATATAAGGTCTTCGCTTTCCGTTTCTTTCTGTTTGATCTTCTGAAGTATTGGACATATTACATACACACATAACACGCTTTGCTTATGAATGTGTTTGATTGTTTCGCATGTTTCATTTGCATCCAACACTAAAGTTCTACTTGTCAAAAACAAAATGTAGTCGATAAACAAAAAAGAATCGTTATAGATAAGCTTCTATGTAAAATTCGAAATTATCGCTCTCACCAGTTTTGGCACAAAACGTTGATTTGACGGATCCATTAGTACATTGATTGACAAAAAGTCCTTTACGAAATATAAGACGTAAGACATCTTGAGAGAGAGAGAGAGAGAGTAGTATACTATTTTTTTCTACCAATACCAATTTCTTTTTTTTTAATGGAATCAAAATCCAAAAGTAAAGATTTACAATTCAAAAATCAAACATTAAAGATAATAATTTCATACTCTATTCCGAAATAAAATAATTTTTAATTGAAACTTTTTTAAACAACAAACAACATGATTTGAGCAACAAATGGGCATGAAAATAGTCCGTCTTGTATATTCTCAATTTATATTTTGCTAAATTAAGTTTAAACTTAATCAGGTACAGGTTGCGTGAAAAGTTCGCGAAGCAAAACTGAAATAAAGAATACCTAATTCTACAAATAATTTTATTCTTCAATATAGTCTCCATTAACTTCAATACACTTGGCCCAATGGCTCTCCAATAATTTTATTCCATCGCGGAAATGTGTTCCTGGAAGGTCTGCGATTATGCGGTTATGCTTCTGCGGCTGCTATAGCTTCTTCATTCGACAAAAAATGCTTTCTACGGAGGAATTGTTTCAGGTTTCGGAACAGATAGAAGTCGCTGGGTGCCAAATCTGGCGAATACGGTGGATGATCAAGCAATTTATACTTCAATTAATTGAATTTAGACATTGACAAAACATTTCTGTGAGCAGGTGCGTTGTCTTGGTGAAAAATGATTTGTTTGTGCTGCAAACCTTTTCTCACGAATTTTTGCGTCCAATTGATCCAAAAGGTTATAATAATATTCAGAGTTAATTGTTTTACCTTTTTCCAGATAGTCAATTAACAAAATCCCTTTAGCATCCCAAAAAACTGATGCCAAAACCTTTTTTGCCGATCTTTCATGCTTTGTTTGCTTTGCAGCTGAACATCCAGCTTCAGTACATCGTAAACATTCCTGTTTCAATTTATGATCATGGTGATAGATTCAAGTCTCATCCATAGTTATAAAACGATGCACAGAATCGGTTTTACTCTTCTTAAAACGATCCAAATGACGCTGAGAAATTTGTTTTCGAGCGAGTTTTTGTTGAATTGTTAACATATGCGGCACCACTTTTCCAACACCCTTTTCATTTGTAATTCTTTATGCAAAATATGCCGTACCCGTTCATATGAAATGCCTATGGTATGAGCAATTTCACGCGTAGTCACTCAGATCTTCAGAAACAATAACATGTATTTGCTCAATGATTTCTGGTGTTGATGCGCTTTTTGGACGTCCACTGCGTGGATCATCTTCAATGCTTGTACGACCTCGTACAAGCATAGATGCCGCTCGAACTTTTTACGCAACCTGTAATAATAGCACTTTTGTGCTGACTCATCATCGATATCTTATCATCTGACAAACTAATGTTGACAACACAGATTTAGTAGAGGTATAAAAAGTTTTATTGTAGCTTTTAAGGAGATAATGGAAATAGTGATTCGTCGAAACAAACATTTACGTCTATACATGTTATATTACGATATTATTAACAGTTCAGCAGTTCTTTCATCAGATGTTTAAACTCATGTAAACTTACTATATTTATTTTCCAACGGGAGTACTTTTGATCTCCATAGAAAGGTACTCCATAGGAATCAATATTTTTAGGGATTTTCAAAAATGTTATGCTAGTTATTTCGGCGTAATAACGTAAACAACTCAAAAGGAATTGCCTATAAATTTACATAGGAATGCAACGTCACGGTTCAATGCAAGTTAACAGAAACGTAATTAAAGCAATTCCAGCTCTTATCATATCGTCTGCATTGTGTCGAGAATGTGTTTATCGAAAGAATATCTTGATGGAAATATGCTACGTTCTATATTACACATGACGGAATCAGTTAATGAATTGATAAATATACAGAGTGTATAAAAGCTAACGAGTTGCCACGATTTCAGGCATTTTCATTCGAAAATAGCATCTACAGGAAGAATGTCTAACACGGCAATACGAAGGAAAGAGCATTTAGAGACAGAAACTGCCAATGTCGTTGAAAACAATGTTATTCGAAAGTGGCTCTCACTTGAAGAGGTGAAGAAAATCGTGAGAAACGTGCTGAACTACGAAGTGGATTCGATTGAATATAATATTCGACCGTATTCCGACGGTAAACTGGGATACCTCGGTTCTCATTACCGTCTAACTGTGACAGCCACGACGAGGAAGAAGAAGAAGGTCACCCTGCCGTTCTTTCTTAAGACTTTGCCTTACGAGATACCCGTCCAAGTCGAATACGTGATAAACCTCGGCTTCTTCAAAGTGGAGACGATGTTCTACAGCACCTTAATGCCAATACTCTGCGAGGAGTATCGTGGAGAACCATGGGCGCCTGTGTGCTACAAAATGAAGGAGAACCTGTTGATCTTCGAAGAACTGAATGGCAAAGGTTATACAATGCGGGACAAGCTTTTCAACAAGACGCTCGTGCGAGCGAGTCTCAGCACTATCGCGCATCTACACGCCGCTTCCTTGATAGCGGAAGCGCGCCTTGGTTCACCGCTCAACCGATTGTATCCTGATGTTTTTTCGAAGAGAAACTTTGACAAAGGCTATAGGGTACGAGAGTGGTTTGATGCGGGTGTTGATGTTGCCACAACTGTGGCTGAGCGTCTAGGACACAATCCTGATCTAATACGTGCAGCTTGTGAACAAGTAAATAACATCTTCAAAACATCCTGTACGAAAACAAACGTGGTTAGTCACGGAGACCTATGGGGCAACAATCTCATGTTCAACAACGACGTACCGCCCAAATGTCTACTGGTGGATTATCAGCTGACGAAATACTTACCTTTGGCATTCGACGTTTCGCAGTTCTTCTATCTATGTACTGACCGAAGTTTTCGAGAGACCTGGGAGAGCGCGATGCTGCGGCATTATTACGAAATACTATGCGAAACTTTGGACGCTCACGGGATCGGCTTGATGCAGAGACCCGCTTGGTCGGAAGTTGTCGATGGTATGGAAGAACAGCGCCTAGGTTCCCTGATTACGGCGATAATATACTTTCCTACGGTACTGATGGACGAGAAGCTCAACGCACAGATCATGAGCGATCCAACATCCTACAACGAGTTCACCTTTCAGAACAGGACAAAGTTTGTACTTTCTGTAATGGAGAAGGACTCGGTCTACGGAAGAAGAATCAGCGAGGCTGTCGATGAACTGGCCAGCTTGGCTTCACGGTTAGATCAGTTGCCCCAACCATCTTAAAATTATACATGTTATTAGTGCAGTTGGTTCAAATATTTTATCAGGTTTTCGACGAAATTTATATTCTGTCTATTGGCCGAAAAGAATTGAATGAATAACCGTATTACTTTATTTTATATCTTTCTACTCTTTACACAATAGTGTTTACACATAAGAATGAGTGATATTGTCTTGGTTCGGGAGTATGATAGATAAGGAAGACCAATCGTAACTGATAAACCGATTACTCGATTCATCGGTGTCTTCTGCTTCATTGATACCTGCGAACTGTGATATTTCGTTATTATTCAGTTCTAAGGTATCGACTCGAGCTTCGTCGTCATTATATCTTAAAATTGCAAAATAATTAATATGCAACATTACAATGTGGGTAAGCGTAAGATGAATCTATAAAATAAAGCGATATAATATTAAAATAATGTCCTTGGTAAATTTATTCAAGAGAAGTTCCACTTAAATAATAAAGTAGCAACAGGGTCGCTCCAAGTCCACTTCAAGTCACTTCATTCATGTCGAGTGATTTTTCCTCTGAATCGTTGAGTGAATATTTTAACTCGAACTCGAATTTGAAGAGTTAGTCCGACGTGCTCAACCGTTGCACGAACAGAATTACTTTAATCAATTGAAATTTCATTTTTATAAATTACAAACTCACTCCGTTTAAGTGAATTATTCTCTCTCTCTCTCTTTCTCTCTCTCTTATGCCTTCGAGTGATAGCATTTCATTGCATACATTTCATCAAGTGAATGCTTGCTTGTTTTAAATGTGATTTCATTCAATTTTTGTGAAAATTTAACGGATGTGCAACAAAAAATTATATAAAATTCTAGATTCTTCGACGTTTCTGGAACGAAACATTTTTGACTGTCGTCTGGATAATAACAATATAAATAACGAGCCTTCATTGATGATAAAGATGGGCTAATACCCTGACCAACAATGGATCAAATCCATTACTAGGTCATTGCTTGAACGGCTATCGAACCACTATCTAATAGCTATCAAACTAGTATCCAACTATTACTGAATTACTATTGGACCATTATCAAGGTCAATCGAACCACCACCTACAGGATAACAATCAATAGCGTTGGACAAATAAGCCTAGAGGCGCTCCTGAAGTCCGTGAGAGAATGAGAGGGTGACGGTGAGTGAAAGTGAGAGCGAGAATAAAAGTGAGAGTGAGAGTGAGAGTAAGAGCAAGAGTGAGAGTGTGTCTGACCGTATGAAAAGGAGAAGAAAGAGTGAAAAGGGGAAGGGAGAGGAAGGGGAGATATATTATCCTATCACGGATAATTTTATAATAATAAAATATGTACATGTTGTTCGAAAATTACATACATACATTCTGTTCAACTTTTTTTGTTAATAATTATTTAATAATTTTCGTTAATAATTTTTAATGCACAATGAGCGACGGCTGCAACTTTTGGCATAACACTCAGGAACATGTCCTTAACAATATATATCAAGGTCATGAACTTTTGAGGAGGTTAACCTTATGTGCACATTTACCGAAGTAGAGTGAACAAGAACCGTTCACGCTTTGCCGTTACCATCAGAACGGACGTAGTGTATATACATTTCCTCAGAGGGCGCGTTCGAGAAAAAACGTCTCGGGGTATTCGGCCCAGTGGCCGGTCTTAAGCTCCTTTCTGGTATAACCAATCTCTAATTGTTATTATTAAGATAAACAAAGTGGAAGGAAGGATAATTATTGTCGAAACATACGTCAGGCTAAATTACTTTTGACATGAAAGCAGTAATACAACGAGTATCGAAAGCTTCGGTCCTAGGTAATAATTTTCGGTTACAGATATTTTCATGTCAAGATGTTTCATAAAGTACACTAATGTCCGTAACTAAATTTCAAAATTTTTGCGAATTTATGCACTTTGTATCAATAAGAAATTTCAAATTTACACTTGTATGCGAAAGACAATACAAATACGTGTATAACTATGTTGATACAAGTATAAATTAGCTTGAATTATGACAATTGTGTACCTATGTTTTTTTACACTGATGTAGTTAAAATGCAATCTTTCAGTTGATGGGGAAGTTATTAGTAGCATTGGTAATGGACTATGTATATTGATTGGTATAAAGAGAGATGATGGAAGAGCAGATGTGGAATATATGTAATAAAACAATATTTATATATGCATAAGTAATATATCTACATAAGTATAGATATGTGAATATTAATCTGTATGTCACAGAGTAAGAAAGATATTGAATACCAAAATTTTTGACGACAATGGTAAAAGATGGAGTGCCAGTGTAATGGACAAGAAATACGAAATATTATGCATTAGTCAGTTTACGCTATATCATATTTTAAAGGGGAATAAATTAGATTTTCACAGAGCAATGTCTGCACAAGAATCAGAACCATTTTATATGAATTTTCTTGCTGAGCTTCGTAAAAAATATAGTCCAGAATTGATAAAAGGTAACTCCAATTTAACATATGTATAGTCTATCTTATATTTTCCATTAAGTATGTAATAATAATTTAATGATATGTTCTCGGAAAATTTATATAGATGGTAAATTTGGTGCAATGATGGAAATCTCTATACATAATAATGGGCCAGTAACATTGGAAATAGAGTCTCCCACAAAATCTATTTCTAATGATGATGTTGTGAATATTGAGAAGAAAGAAGTATCTGATTAAGCAAAACATTTGTTTATATATTATGACAAATTGATAGCTTAATAAACTTATGTTGAATATAGTACATAATGCATATATATTCATTTTACCTGATAGAATACTAAATTAATTTAATTTTTCATATTCACATCTTTAAAATACAGTTCTGAAATATTGCATTTTATTTACTACAGATATTTGAAATAACAAAAGAAACTGATGATACTTTAAAAAAATATTTCATGTAAATATTATTTCCCTATATTTTTGTGTTACAGATTCTGGTCATGCTAAACTGTACAATAGTTAATTAAATTTTAATATTAATAATTAATAATTATATTTAATATTAAAAAATGGCTACTACTGAAGGAAAGATTATTATGCAAAAGCAGAATAAATCAGAGGAGCAAGATCAGAAAGGTGTGTATTACATATAGTTTAAACAAAAATGTCAAATGAATGTTACTTCAAAAAGGGATTTATTTCAGATAAGGTTATAGATTCTTGTACAGAAAATACAGAAACTACAACCAAAGTAGATAAAATATCTAATAAAGATGATACGCTTGTTCATCAAAGACAGGTATAATGATAGAAGCAGAATGAACAAGTTTTTAACTATGATTATAAATATAGCTATTATTAATATTTTTTATATTCTTTGTAATCATAGTCATACAAAAACAAGACAGATTCTGTAGATACAGAAACTGTAGAGCAATTAAAGGATCAACTAGGTATGTTAATGAACTCATTGGCTACTTTGTCGGCAGAGAAATCAAAAATGGAGGCAAACTTTCAAGTTGACAAAAAGCAACTGAGAAGTGAACGGGATGAAGTAAGATAAAATCCAACATTATTACGTTACCAGAAGTATTTAAATTTATTTATTAATGCTGTTTGTAGTGTGAGAAAGTAATCAAAGACTTGAAAGAAAGACTGAAGAAGTCCCAGGGAGTCAATCATTCTGAAATCGAGCATATGAAGTGCAAGTTAATTATGGAGCGACATGAGAGAGAAAGAGAACAGGCTGATAATTTTAAAATGATAAAGTATGTTGACAACTTGATTATTGAGATTGTATGAAATTTAAACCATTGGCAAAGTTTAGAGATACATTTACATGCGATCCGATTACACGACTCATATTTGCGGATATAAAATTCTTGCAGAGAATTGCAAAAGCTGTTGTGCGACGAGCGATGCAGCAAAGAACAATTGGAGGCGCAACTAAAGACGCATCTCGCGAATAAGACTCAGTGCAAGATTCTCGAAGCTGAGCTCGAGATCACCAAGACCAAACTCAAGCAGGCCGAAGAAGCGGCGAAGGAAACACCACCGCTTCTTCTCTCGCTGCAAGCTGAGATGGCTGTAATGAAGAAGCAACACTTGAATGCAATTCGCGAAGTACAGACGTCGGAAATTACTTAGCGTGTTATTATTTGTTGAATATAACCAAATCAAGCTGTATGTTTTGACAGGAGCAGAAAAGAACTGCTGCCGCGGAGCAAGAAGCAAGAGGACTGGCGATGGTACACGAAGCGAGAGTAGCCAGTTTGGAAGCTCGATTGGCTGAATTGTCCGAAATCGTCGGCAGCTACGACAGATTAAGGCAACAGGATCGATTAGTTATTCAAAAATTGACAGATAGATTGGCCGCTTTACAGGATACCGAACATGAAGTTGTAACATCGAATAACCGACCGGAAGAAATTATTACTAAGATAAAGACTCTGTATACTCATTTGTTGGATCTTGATAATAAAAAAAAAGACTCGGCCTGCGTAAAAGGTAAATAATGTTAATATAACTGATAGAATAGAAAATATGATTAAGATAGATTGAATTGAACGTATCACGCGATTCTATATATTTTTTTAGAGTTGCTGAATAGCTTGGATCTGCGAGATGAACATTCCGATTATAAAGAGAAGTACGACATGCTTCTGCAAGAATTTGATGACTACAAGCATCAAGTGATATGCAAATATAATGTGTCGTCCAATGCGCTTCGTGGTATTCAGCAACAAAATCAAGGGCTATCCCTAATATCTGACAAGGATCACGATAAGACTCAGTTGCATCTCCTCAAAGTCCATAACATCAACTTAGAGGAAAGAATACGTATGATTAGTAAAGAAATGTTGAATAAAGAGAGAGACTGGCAAATGCAACTGGATCATCAACAAAAAGTAACATCTTCATAGTAGTTAATTTTCCAAGTGCAATTTGCAAATCTATATCTTGCTAGAGACTTTCGCACATTTGATCTTGCAACTGAAGAATTGCAAACTGATATTATATTTTTAGTTATTTCAAGAAGAACACTCAAAGCTGGAACATACGTTACATCAAAAGGATACTGAATTTCGCAACAAAATATCTTTATTGGAACAACAACTGCTACGGCAAAGAGAACGATCCATGGCTCTCGTAGAGGAAAAGGATAAGGAAATATTAACATTGAAAACGTCATTTCGCACATTATTACCTAACAAAGAGATTGCTGTTGCTGCTACTGCGACAGAAAATAAAGCGCCTTTAGTCAGATATGAAAGTGCTGTCGAGCCTATTACTGATTTGGTAACGGGATTACTAACAAATGATAGCCCACCGATACTACATTACACTCAGGAATTGGCCAGAAAGGAAGTGCAAGTATCTACATTAAGGAAAAAAACCCTGGAATTAGAAGGGACACTGAGAGAGCAGCAAAGAGAAATACTTCATATGAAGGAGCAGCAACAGGAAGAAAATAAAACATTGAAAGCGCATATCACTAGGTAATTATTACATGAATATTATAAAGTAAAGAGGTATTTTTAAAAGTCATAATAAAGATCTCATGTAAACGATCGTTAAAAAAAATTTTTTTTATTCTAGGCTGGAAGCGTGTAAATCGAGAGAAGGTGCCAATTTAGAATACTTGAAGAATGTATTTATAAATTATTTAACGACAAACGATGCGTCCAGCAAACGGCACATGTTAAATGCCATTTCAACGGTGTTGCGCTTCACTCCTGACGAATTGAATAAAATCAAATATTAACGGTAATGTGCAATAATTATATTTTTACTAATGATATATTTCTCTCTTATGTAAAATTATATAAATACACGGATAAATACAGGTACGACGTGATGTTGGGATTAAATTCCTTCTTGCGCCTTTAATTCCTCTATAAGTCGTTTACGTTCTTCTGCTCTCCTCAGGTTGGCCAATACAGAACTTTCAAACTCCGCGTCCATCCTTCTTTGTTGTGTCTATATAGTGCAAAAATATTACATAAGATCATCGCGACATAGTATAGTCACGTATAAGTTAACTTTCCAATTTATTAGTAAAAATATTCGAACAAAATATGCATACGAATATATCAGGGGCAGAAGAAGCAGAAGACTTATATGATTTGTTAACAGGAAATATAGGTTTTCCAACGTTGGGTTTCATATTACTTGCGATATGTCTTGCACGTTTCTGAGTATCCCATAAGCCACGAAGTGTTAACGGGTTCTGGGCTAAACCAATTTCTGCTAGTAATGCAGTTTCCTAAACCGATTAAAAACAATTTTTATTTTACAGTATTCATAATTTAATTTTAAACAATAATCTACAAATTTACCGCTGCACTTTTATCTCCAAATTCTACCATGGCACTCCCTTTTTTCGAAGATGATACAACAAGAGCTATCACATCTCCGTACTGTACAAAAAAAAATTTATTTCATTGATTTATTTAATTCAAAATTAATACATGCAAATGCGCAATACATAATTATTTCCAAATAATATAAATTAATGATTGATCAGACAGGTCCTAAAAAAAAAAGATTAACATATAAAAATCCAAAAATCAGTAATGTTACCTTAGAGAACATTTTATGTAGATTATCATAGTTATATCCACCACTCAGTGGATCTTTTTCTTGTGCTTTCCATCTAATTTTGATTCTAAAGTCTGTCACATTAGAAGATTCTGAATCCTTTGATATACCATGAAGCTGTTCCCAAATTTGTTTCTGTAAAAGGGCTATCTCTTCCTCTACTTGCCTTGATCCTTCTTTACGCAATCTTTCTATTTCAACCTAAATAATTATATGTTTTAGAAATATCCTATTTTCTGTTTATATGTCCTATTTCAAAATAGAAATGCGAGGGAGAAAAGAAAAAGAGAAAGAAAGAAAATACTGTAGTAAAATCAAGCAATTTTGCCAAGTACTTTTAAGCGTTCCTCATCAGATTTAGTATTATATGTAGGATCTAATGTTTTTTTATAAGCCTCCTCACGTGCTTCCAAGTCCTCTTTCAGTTTTCTTCTCTTGGCATCAAATTCTTTAACACGTTCCTTAGCTTGTTTTCTAGCTGCGATAACTTGGTCGTAAGCTGCCTTATCATATATAACAATATATTTTAATAAATTAAACTATAAAACTTTTCTGAAAGTCACAAAACGAAATAAATTTAATCATGATAACACTAACGAACTTCAAAGTAAAATCAATATACTTACTCGGGCTTTTTCATCCGTTAATATCTCCAGTGCCTTTGATAATTCATGGAATAATTCTGCTGCTTTTGGATTATTAGGATTTTTATCAGGATGGCATGTTAAGGCTTTTTTGCGGTACGCTTTTTTGATCTGAAATTGCAAATATTTGAAGGCATTTTACTTTTCTAGAAGATTTAAACAAATAGAGGATCATTTGCAAATAAATATAAATATTTACTTCTGACACGGAAGCCGTAGGCTCTGCGCCGATTAAATTATACAATCCATCCATCTGCATAATTGCGTCCATTTTGATTTATTATTTGTGAAAAGATTCTCTGACCTACGTCCGATAATGGCTACGTTCAGAAAAGACAACGGTTACACAACGGTTGAGTAATTAGTCAACGTTATTAGTCTGAATGTAACGATCTAACAGTAAAGACCAATAGTTACTAAGCGCCCAGTGAGCGCTTAGTTTTCTGAACGCAACCAATTAAAATATAAGTTCATTTAAATTGTTTTCCTCGTATAATATATCATCAATTCAATTCAATTCAATAAATGGCTCTGGGCAAAATAGGGTACTGCTCCAACGCCACTCTCAAGGTATAGATAGATTAAATTCTGTAAGGCTATTTTCCAGTAGCATGAAGGTAAAAGAAAAACAGGGACACGCGTACGCAGTTCCCACGATCAAAAAATATGCGTAGTTACATGAACCACATCCAACCGCCACAGAGGCGAACAAAAGACTTACAATGTATCATGTACTAGAGAAATAATGAGAAGGGTTATAGGTGAATTTTGAGTGATCCTCGTAGGTGAAGCACCTCTATAAATCAAGATACGAACATAGCTAGTGTACACGAATTTCTTAACGGGTAACATTTTCACAATGATGATTCTGTTCTATTATATGTCGACGACCAGAGAGGAACATGAGAGCGGCTAACACGGCGTTTTCGGTGACACCGACTTTCGCACTGTGAAAGGGCGCCATCTGCATCCATTTTGAGAGGGGAACTACGAAGCTACATCTAATTTTAGGTTTCGGCGGTAAAACATGCACTGGCAATCCGCACTACATACATTTTCAGGCGGTTTATGTCCATGCTACAATCATAATAACGTACTTGACAAGCACGGTCTCGTACATTATTAATATCTCCGCTTCTATTGGGAATTGAAAGTCGAGCTTTATCATGAAAATAGGATAGATATAGGACTATATGGTGGTAAAAGCGTGTTCCTGTATCTTGAGCCGTTTAGACAAAGGCCCGTTCCTGTATCTTTAACCGTTTAGGAGATATCGAAGGTTAAAGTTTTTAACTTGTACTTTTAATATCTCCGTTTCTACTGGGAATTGAGAGTCGAGCTTTATGGTGAGAATAAGGTTCATACAGGACTAAATTGTGGCAAAAACGCGTTCCTATATCTTGAGCCGTTAAGGAGATATAGGAGGTTACATTTTTAAATTTTATTGTTCATACCTCCGTTCCTACGGGGAATTGAGAGTAGAGCTTTATGGCGAGAATAGGGTTGCTATAGGCAGAGAGTAACCTGAGAGCGGCCAATACGACATTTTCTGCGACACCGACTTTCCCCACTGGGAAAGGACGCCATCTGCATCCATTTTGAGAGGGGAACTACGATAGTACATCCACTTTCAGGTCTCGGTGGTAAAATCTGCATATGGTGGAAGTCCATGCTACATCCACTTTCAGGCGGTTTATGTCCGTGCTGCAATGACAGTTGCCATCTCTATGCCAGGCTATGCCCGGTGGTCTAAAAAGAGCGGGGGAGAGGGGGGAGGAGCAGAAAAAATAAAAGTACGTATTAAATGTTAAATCTTCGAATATATATTGCCGTATCAAAGTCTCTTCTATAATAAACAATTTGACATGTATGGAGACGCATGATGTATCGTTGTCCGCGTCCCGTTCACTTCGCCTTGTTTTTTAATTCAGCATCCCGTCCGCTCCGGACATTCGCTCGTGGCACTGACAGTGGCCGTCGGTGAGCATTCGATTCGCTCGGAGGAGCACGTGTTATTCACGTAATTAATGTGACGAGACTCCGATTATAAATATCCCGCGAGTCGACGAAATATTTGAACTTTTAAAAAAAGCATCAAAGAAAATCACGTTAATGTTGTCATGGGTAAAATCTCACCCCGGTATATATTTCCTTATTTTCGAAATAAAAAAAGCCAAACGAATGCAATTAAATGTTATTTATCATCATTGAATATTAAATGAAAAGTAGAAGAGTTATTGTCCGCAGCGGATAATCTCCCTGTATAAAATGTTGAACTGAAACATATTAAAAAGTATTTTGAATACGTCTGAATTCTGCTTTCTGATCCGAAGAAAGGGAAAATAAAAAGTATTAGTTCCCATTAAATTTCACCGCGCTAAATGCGAGATGGCAGTAGTGAATGCTTCGCATTAACAAGGATTCAATTCGTTTCAAATATGCCTTGTATTCAATCGCAATCGATAATTTTTAAATGCGAACTTTCGTATTGAAAAATATTCACTTCTTCTCCTAATCGTTTTCGGATTCAGAGGCATACAAGATTTTCACGTTCTATTCCCCGTCGCATTAAAAAGTATTCACCCGCGATCCAATCTGAGAGCAGAATTCACGACAAAATCTCGTGAATGCGAAACAATACTTTTAAATACGACATTTTATACAGGACTAATATTTAATAAGAGCGCGACTAAATTCGCATAGGATGAAATTCCATTCTTTAACGCTACCATGACCTTTAATTATTCTCTGAAAACGGCGTCACAACAACTTACACTCTGTACAATTAGTTGCTAACACATTTTCTAATCGTATACATTCCTCTTTAATTAACATAAAGCTAACAAATGTCCGATGCTTCGACAGAGTAATTTTCTTTATTTTCAGTAATCAATAAATAGAGTGCATCAATGTTGCGTACAGTTGAAAGGCCTCCTCGCATTCCCCTCGTCGTTCCGAAATCTTCGAGAAAACAAGAGACGCTCAAAGGCAAGTCTCTCTTGCTTCAACCGCCGCCGAGGCCCGCAATGTTTACATCGCGCCAATTGTGTTGATCGGCTCGCGAGCGACGACACTTTTTGCCCTTCGTATTATAATACTCGCGCACCTCATGTATTCGACCTCATTCCATCAGCAGCAGCCGTGCGCGACGCTCTCGTCACTTCCGTCTCGTGTAATTAAAAGAAATATATCTCGTCGGTCCTCGAGATACTCAATCGGCATCGCGTCGGCATCTCATTCATTAACTGCACGGTCGAATCGCGAGTATCAGCATTAGAAGCGTGAGCGAGTGAAATCCGGAGGACTTCAGCAGTCGAGAAGCAGAACGCCGGCAGCGATACGTCACGTTTCCAGGTATGTGGAATCATTTATTACGTGGGAGGTCTCAGATAACGAGAGCGTACGTTTGACGAATTTTCCGGGAATAAGAAGTCGGAATTTCGCGCTCGGCATTCACAATCCGTCATCATCCGATTAATAATCATCACTTTATGAATTTGCAATTACTCTCGTCAATCTCTGTCTGTCTATCTATTTATTGCGTTGTTGTATACAAAAGATATTGATCCAGACAGAGACGGATAACAGTCCATGGACGTGGATCTCGAATTCATCATGTTCTCAATCAAACATTCTGAATCATTCCCAATTCCTGTGTGAGAATATTGATTTTGTGTAGAATATTCAACGTCATATCGCTTCTTAGACTGCGATCTTTTTTGTTTTCGGTCAGCGCTTCTTTCAAGTTTGTTTACTCTTGTTACGGGATCTGAATTTAAATGTCCATCCGTAAAAGAATATTTTCGAGAGCACACAACTGTTGTCTCCGCTTCTTATTGTCATTTTCTTTCGTCAGCTCTTTCAAGAGCTCCTATCTAGACATCCAATGTCAATAAAGAAAAAAAATCGTAGCGAATATTCTCCACTCATCCCGACCAACCATTTTTTCTCTACCGCAGCTTACCAACTAAGAACGCTAAATTTTTGTTCCAGACGTTGCGGGAAGCAAGTCCGGCGGACATGGATGCCGCACCGGAGGATCCGGTTCGGGCAGAGCAGGGTCGGCCGGAAGGTAAAGTTTACAAGTTTCCTACACATCTGTGTTCAACTCTTTACGATCTTTGCCTTTGTAACTTGTTCCTCATCAGCTTTCTTGAAAGCTTCAAGTCCTATTTAAATTTTCAATGTTGGAACAAAAATATAAAGATAAAAATTCCGTATCAAAATATATCCGTATTTTCGATTGGTCCCGGTTCAAAAATATTCTCTCTCTACCGCAGGTTATCAACCGGGAAAATTATTTTTCTGTTTCAGTTGTTGCGGAAAGCAACAGCAATCCGGTGGACGCGGATGCCGCACCGGAGGATCCGGTTCGGGCGAAGCAGAGTCGGCTTGAAGGTAAGTTTACAGTTAGTTTTACTATTAGTCTCTGTTTGACCTTGGTGATCTAGAGCTGGGATTAATTTCCGGCTCGACTTGAATTACGATCGCAGAGGGTAAACTACTCTTTTACTCGCCCGCACTCGTTGGTCAAATCTGATGAGCAAATGTGAATTTTTTGTTACAGAGTTGAAGCGGAACGTGGCCGGCTCTGACTGCAAGTCGTTTCGGTGAGTCAAAATGAAAGAGAAAACAATATTCTGCATGACAGATGTGGGACTAAAAAATATCGTTCGAGTCAATGCGAATTGCAAATAGATACTTGCATGTGTGTGTTTGTGACGTTGAATAAATACATTGCTCGAAACAATT